GCAGGTGCCTCCTTTCCGTGATTTTTAAATAATATTGGACACATTTCTTGAAACACCCTGTATATAAACCCTGTTTACAGACTTTCATCATACCCGTCATGTTTCGTATAATGTCCAAATAAATTACTTTTGTATGCACACTTTATGTTGTTCCCGCGGATGAAATCTCACGAGCGCTATAGCGAGGAACACTGCGGAAGCATAAATGAAACAAGCTGCCCATCTCCATCGTACGGATAAAATCTCACGAGCGCTATAGCGAGGAACACTGCGGAAGCATAGATGAAACAAGCTGCCCATCTCCATCGCACGGAGGGCGCGTGCGATAAAAATCACTCCGCGTGCGATGCCTACCGTCGATTGCTACGAAGCATTGTGAAGGGATACTCAGGTAGCAGGCTGCGTGGCTCGATCCGCATCTGTGAACTTTGATTATAAAGGCGTGGTCCTGAGTGCTAAGAAGACATAATCCATCTCACTCATAAAGCGTTTTACGCAAGAATAGTGATCATAAGTGTAATCATAATGCTTTTTGAGTTAATGCATTGAAAAGTAAATATAAGCTAAAATCAAGAGTCTAAGAACTACTAGTTCTGCGATGCCTTCGCTACACTTAGGAAAAAAATCCATTTACGTTCTAGAGGTCAATTAGTTCTGCATAGTCCATGCCCCCATTGTTTATTCTTAATGGCCAATCCTCCTCAAATCTGGAAGCTATAGCAAATTCTTTTATTATTGACTTCAAATTTGTTTCTTTTTCTACCATTAATGGCATCACTCCTTAATTTTGCACGTACAGCAAATTACCTGCTCTTCCTAATCTTCAATTGAGCTCCCTTGAAGTGCATAATCTAATATTAATTTTGAAGTTACGATACACTCTGCTGGCACAGATTGCATGCTAAATATATTTCTAAAGTGGTACTCAGTGTGGCATGCTAATTATCTTACTGTAATATTTAAAAAGGTGAATCTCTCCAACAGTTCCCCAACTGCGGATATTATCACACGTTGTGCCCTTAAGTCCGGAAACAAGCCAATAGCAAATTATAGAGCAGTTTTGTTGCTTTTTATACCAGCTTCACACTTTTGGAGCAAATAATCAACAACTACTATGTAGAATACCTAAAAGCACACAACCTTTTTTCCCTATGGCTACACAATCGCTTGAATTTACGCACGACGTTGTTGCTTTTCTTAACGACAGAAGACAGGTTTATGCCGCATTTATAGACTATTCTAAAGATTTTCAAATAGTTTGCCATGCCAAACTTCTATTTTCTTCACAATTTTCGCGACAACAAGCTGGTTGATTAGATAGCAAATTACTTGCTATCGCCCTCAAAATTCGTTACATTTAACCACGCAAAGTCATCTCACGTAAGTAAACAACAGGAAGAGGCAACAAGGCTTGGTGCTTCATCTTCCTTTGTTTACTATTTATATAAATGACGTAGCCGAGATTATCTGTAGCACCCAAATTAAACTTGAAATGTATGCAGACTGCGTTATCTGTAAAATCATCTCTAATACTCGAGATCAAGATACACTGATTGCTGGTTTTTTGTTTCATCCTTTTGTCACAGGAGCGAAACATACTGATTGCTGTTTTTTTTTTTTCATCGTTTTGTAACAGGAGCGAAACATGGCAATTGTCTAGTAACTGCGAAAATACCGACCTTTTCAAATGAGAAATGGCTTCTTCATTTTACATATACTAATGACGGTGTAAGTCTAGTACGTGTCACGGAGCTTAAATACATTGCTGTAACTCGCCCAACAAATTTAAAATGGCACAGTATTTCAAAACAGTATGAAATCTTCGAAAACATTGGTATCTCCGACACACGTGAACTAACTAGACAAAAGGATGTGGACTGACAGCGTATAAGATTTTGGCCAAACTGAATAACGGTTGGTTGTTTGGTGACCTGACCACAGACATGATATAGCTATCATAGAATATTTCACAGCGCAACAGGTTAGAAATGGACAGCGCTGTGTCCCTTCTATGTCCGTCTCTAACTCGTTGCACTGTAAAGTATGCGATGAACATCGACCAACTTGCCCAACTCGCGACTCTGCATTAGTATGATATAGCTATGTGAAAGAATGTTAAAAAAGCAATAAGGTTTATATTTTGTTTCTATACCAGCGTTTCTTCTATACACTTCGAATGCACATGTTTTATTGCTGCAGCCTCTCTCGAACATTGGTGCACTTGAAATCGTGTGATCCTTCTGCGTAAATAGGATAGTTTATAAAGGTTCCAGTGTTCTAGCACCCGTATCCTTCGTTGTATCTTCTGCACACTTTACCCAGTGATTCGAATCTACAAATATTGTCTTGTTAGATTAATTAAGAATTGTATTCGTTTTCTTTTGTTGTTTGATTTTCTGCAGAACGTGCATTTTTTTAATCAGCTTGATGGGTATATGCACAGACTTGGTTCTGAGCTATTGGAAAAAAAAGACTTGCGTGAACATGTATTTTGACAAATTGTAGCTCTTAAGGTGCTGAACATCTGTATTTACACCTGCTATGTATCAAAAACTGAAAGAGAAGTATTTGTAAATAAATAACATTAACTGATGCTGCTGTCACTTCAACTGCTTTGCCCTTTCTGGGAAACAAATTTTTTTTCCCAAAACTCAAAGAACAAGTTGCTATCTCCACCAACTCTTGTGAGGACCATGCCCTCTGGGATGAACTCAGCAACAAAGAACAGCAGTGCAGCTGACGATGACGACGGCATCAAATAAACGTGTATGCTTATGGAGTGTACGTTTATCCAATGCTTATGTTGGGCTTCCTGCTGATGAAACGGCGTTTCTTTCATTTGGCCAAAATTTCTTTTTTTTCCTTTTCTGGCCTTGTGAATTTCGGGGGTAGGCCTGCGATGGAGGGTGCGCCAGATTCGAGTAAGTATGGTATGTGCCCACAAGATCTGCTGTTGACCCAGGGTTGTGTGACTTAGTGCAAGCTGCGCTTTTTAGCTAGTCAACCAGACTTTGCTGTCCAGGGCTTGCAGCATTTACCATCACTGAAGACGTAATGTGATGGATACTGCTGCGCTGCAGTGGCAATGTATGGTACAAATGAATGGACCTATGTTATTTTTGCTTGAACATAAGAACTGTGGCTATTTTGGCATTATCCTAGTAGTGGTCAGCATGTCGATGGTGCCAGCATGCCACACTTGCTCTTATTTATGTTAGTTGTGACACAGGCTAAATCAGTTTATCATTATTTCTGGCATTGGTTATTGTTGACATGCACATTTTCATCTTGTTCTTGTTTTGAGACTGAATAAACAAACACAAAAACACAAGCTTGCCTGAGACTGTTTTTTCAGCGGCTCAGTGCCCACATTGTCTGCTCTCATTCCTGTGGGTCAACAACAATGTACAGCCTCGGCCACGTCTGTGTAGAGCACGCGAGAAGCCGGTTTTCGCTCTGTGGGGCGAAACCTTGAGGCCGTTTCGGGCTCTGAAGTGCTGTATCAGAAGCATGTATGGCCTAGCTGTCGCTGACCACAGCCCGAAACGGCCTCGAGGTTTTGCCCCGCAGAGAAAAACTGGTTACTCGTGCGCTCTACACAGATGTTGCCGCGGCTGTACATGCCAGGCGAATTGGGCATTTACCTCCACTAACCACCAGTCAGCCAAGAAAAGAGCGCAGGGCACACGGGTGGAAAACACCTACAAAGATATGCGAAGCACATGCGGCTAGTCAAAGAAGCATGTTGGCAAATTGAGAATGAAGCAAAAGATGTGTATTTAGTAAACATGCTTTAAATTGAAGTGAACGGTATTATAGAAAAATTCAATTTAAGGGGTAGTTTGATGAAAGTGACTTCCTATTAAAAAATTCAAAATGCCGACTTTTAACTTATGCTGCAACTTGGAGAATGGATTGGTCTAAACTTGGTCTAAACATGAGATGTTAAGGAAAGCGAGTCTTTATTGAAGTGCCAAAAGGCAGTCTGCCTTTTCAGTCTCGGTCACGGGTCAGTATTTTCAGACACGGGTCAGTATTTTAATGAGGCACAAGCAATCCATACTCCAGTTTGCTAGGGCATTGCTTCAGGTCGTAGTGGCTGCAGTGATATTCAACTTTGTTCGGCAGCAGATGGAGGTACTATGGAGTCTGTGTCACAGCTGGCATTTCACTTGGCTGCTTAACCATCAACTCTATGTTGGGGCTGCGAAAACAAGTGTCAAATATCCTTGCATCCGTCACTTGAGCAACAACAGGAAGAGCTCCGTCACTGGCAAATGTGAATGAGTTGAGGTTGCCTTTCACTTCTTCACTGGCAACTTTATGCTTCACCTCAAGGAAATTGCTGCAAGTTTGGCCATCATAGTCAGTCTCATTTTCACTCGTATGCATAGCAGTTTGCATTGTGCAAAACAGGTCACAGAAAGCACATGCATAACAAAGCACCTGAAAAATGGCTGTCTACGCAGAGAGGTGCGCAGTGGGCATTGAAGTGACTAGACCTATTGATTGAACCGTGACTGAACTACGTAACTGCTGACTCAAAAGGACAAGCTCGGGCAGTGCAGCAGAGCAGTAGTAGTGTGACTTGAATAGTGATTGAGTGACCTTGTTTGCTTTAAGTGGGGCATAAAAGTATTCAACTAATTCAGCTAAAATTGCATGTACATGGGTCAGGACTAGGGAAAATTTTGGTGGAAAGGAAAATTTAAACTAAGTGATCTTATTCCAACAAGTGTCTATTGTACTATGTTGTTCAGTGTAAAGATGACGCTTGGGCTAAATACAAGACTCTTTCTGGAAGGACATTTCTGTTTTAGTGGCAGGGTGTGTCAAGCTTCTCTGCTTGGGTCAAGCTTTGCAAACAAGGAACTTAGCTGTTCATTCACCTTCAAAGAACGCAAATATGTTTTTATTGTTCCTTGTGCATTTTTTCGATGCCGTTACTTAAACTGCCCGTGGGAACTGTACAGGAATGTGAAAATCGGTTGGCTTTGCAGAAGCTGAGCAAGGAGCTGCGAGAGGTGAAAAGTCGAGCACAGGCTCATCGGGAAGAGCGAGAGGCCCTTTCGCAGGAGCAGTCGTCTGCGTTAAAGGAGAAGACCCGACTGGAGCTCACCATCAAGGACCTTCGCGATGAGGTCGAGGGAGATGACTCGTCTCGGAAGCGTGCCGAGCGGGAGCTGGCCCGCCTTCAAGAGACGGTGGCACAAAAGATGTCATTGCTTGATGGCATTCGACCTCAGTATGAGGCACAGAAAAAGAGAGAGGAGGAATGCACAAGAGAGTAAGTAAATCATACTAAGAGTAGATGTTTTTTTAAAAAGCTATTTTTGTTTTTTACTTGCTTTTGTTTAGTGTCTCTACTGTTGAGAAAATCGACGTTGTGAGTGTACACCACTGGAAATAGGTTAAAATTGTGCATAAATGGTATGAGGTTGTCGTCAAGACTTGAAAGTGTGCTGTCTTTCAGAGCTGCTCGGCCGATGCCTTTGCAGATGATGTAATATCAGCCAAGGCTTATTTTCCAATGCTTCAAGGCTTTCCACATTCTTATGCTCTTGGTCGGTGGCATTGCTGCACCTGCCAAGGTAGGTGCGCATCTTTCGCACGCATTCCATGATGTCGGCATTGGAAAGAGATTATGCGGGCTGGTACACGGGCATGGTCTCAGCATCATCTTCGCCATTGGCATCCTCGTCACTGGCGTCCTCATCACCACGAACGGCGCTGACGATGTCATCGATTGTCAGTTCGGCTGACGTGGGCGCTTCATTGTCGCACTTCTCAAAGTCCTCGAACATCGCCGAGGCATCCATCGCAAGTTTTTCAGCGACTTCTTGCCACATGCTGCTCGCAACGCTGTTTTCGCTGCCTTGTTCAGAGTCAACTTCGTGTGGAAGAGATACTAAGCCTGGCTTTCTCAAACAGTTCTTGATGGTGGTTGCTGTAACATTCCACCAAGCCCCGAGAACTGTTTCTGCAGCCTGTCGCACACTGATTGAAGGAGGCAGCTTCAGCCAAAGATTAATCAGCAATCGCTGAATGAGGTGTTTGCGGTATTTATGACGCCTCGGTTGAGTGGCTGTACCAACGAAGTGCGGTTGGGCGGCAAGAATTCTAGCTCCACATTAGTCAGCCTAATATTCACAAGATGCGTCGAGCAGTTGTCAGCAATAATTAAGACTTTCTTGCCTGCTCGTCTTATCTCGTCGTCCACCTTTATTAGACACTCAGAAAAGAGCTCTCGCGTCATCCATGCGCATGAATGGGCCCGATAATTGCACGGCAATGATACGTTCTTCATGCACCGAGGCTTCTTGTATTTACCAATCACCAACGGTGTCAGCTTCTTTGTGCCCGTGGCGTTGTAACAGAACAACACCGAAATACGGGCTTCGGATTGCTTGCCGCCGTTACAGCTGCTCCCTTTGGAATGCATCTTTTATTGGGAAGCATCTGATAGAAGAACACTGTTTCGTCCGCATTGAAGATATCACCTTCAAAGTATGAAACGGCGATTTCTCGTAACTTATCGTCCCTTCATGCAGCAGTGCTTGCTGTGTCTGCCGCATTTTGTTCGCCTGACACCACTTGCCAGGTGATTCCGTTCCTCTCACGGAAACGATGAAGCCACACCGCGCCTGCTTCGAAGTCTGTGATGTCTAGAGCAAAAGCCAATTGCCGGGCTTTTTCCTGCAGCATACTGTATAAACCGGAATATAAGCCGAGATATTTTCAATAAAAAAATAGTTTTTTCATTCGATTTCATATTTTCAATAAAACAACGAGCTAAAGTGGCCCCTCGTCTTATATAGCCGTATCTAGCGGATATCAAGAAGGTCCTGGGCCTACCCATACATACCAGCACCGAGCGTCTGCTTGAGCTTGGCATACACAACACGCTCGAAGAAATAGCAGAAGCCCAAGAGAGAGCACAGTTTGCAAGGTTATCTACTACAAGGTCGGGGAGAATGATCCTGCAGGAGCTGGGCCAACACCCAATAGCAATCAGACGCAATTACAATGATATCCCTGACAACATCAGGGAGACTATCACGGTATCTCCTATACCGAGAAACATGCATCCAGAACACAACGTCGGAAGAAGAGTAGCGAGGGCCAGGACTATACTTCGTCAAGTCTCAAACGAGGAACAAGGGGTCGTATTTGTTGACGCGGCTTCCTACGCCAATGGGAAAGCGTTTGTGGCAGTGGTAGTCGATGGGGCTGGCCATGTCGTCAACTCAGCGACGGTCAGGACGAAAGACCCAATCATTGCGGAACAAGTGGCCATCGCCTTAGCACTCAAGATGGATAACATTGAAGTCGTCTACAGTGATTCCATGGCAGCACTACGGGCGTTCGCCAAGGGGACGGTCTGTGAACAAACGCTGAAAATACTGCAAGGCAAGAACATAACACATCATCATCTGAGTTGGTTCCCAGCTCACCTTGGACAAATCAACGATTCCCCTCCCAATCTCAACGAAGCTGCACACGAGGCGGCGCGAGAACTCTCCGACCGCGCCTCCCCGGGGATGCGTTCTACCGGTGAAGGGGATAACCGGGAAATTCTTACAACATATAACGAGCTTATAAAACATTTCTACCTGTCTAGAAGGATTTTCCCTCCACCTCACAAAAATCTAACCCGGCCCCAAGCACTTACATTAAGGCTTTTGCAAACGCGGATGTACCCTACTTTGAAAATGTTACACATCATGTACCCTGACCTATACCCAAGCAATCTTTGTCCACATTGTGGGGAAATAGCTTCATTAGAACACATGCTCTGGCAGTGCACCAAATTCGCTCATTTATCGCACATCACCTCTGCCAGATGGGAGGCGGCAATCCGCAGCTCGTCCTTGGCAGATCAGCTCTGGGCTGTCCACCAAGCCCGCGAGGCGGCTGAGGAGCTTGGCATCTCAGTCCCCACGTGGGAGCTGCCCGCAACACAGTGATCTGTGTTTTGGAGGACCAAATAAAAGTTTATCCAATCCAATCCAATAGCGGACAGTGCACCGCTATCTGGCAACATGTGGCTTGCATGTACGTGAGAAGCTCGACACGTCCATAATTGCATTCAAATCCAATAGCAGGTTGTTCTTTTTCTTTTGTCTGTTTTTTTGTGTTCGTGATTTGCCTCCGATCTGTTCTAAGTTCTCGCTCCGCTTGACCTTATGTTTCATTTTTAGTGGTCTTTTTTTTTGTTCACTGAATATGAGTAGCGGTACGAGAAGGCAGTACTCAGCTGCATTTAAACTAAGGTTGTTGAGTTCGCAGAAGTGAATGCGAATATGGCTGCTCAGCGCTGCTTTGGTGTATCAGAAAAAAGCGTGCGCTATTGGAGGGTGCAGAAAGGGAAGCTGCAGATGTGCGATCCTCGGAAAATGTCATTTCGTGGGCGAAGTGCGGTTCATTCGCAGCTGGAACTTTGTATGGGAAGTTCATGCGCGCTCGCTGCCAGTGACCGTGGATACCATTCGCAAGAAAGCTGTGGAACTCGCTCGCGAAGCTAGGCTCACGAGAGAAGAGTTTTGTGCACCAAACTCTTGGGTGCCTCGATTCATGAGACACAAAGGATTTTCTTTCCGGTGGCGCACATCTATCTGTCAGAAGTTTCTAGACGAGTTCGAGGACAAGCTTATAAAACTTTCAGGGCTTCGTGAACCTACTTCGGGAGCAGAACAACTACATGATGGGGCAGATTGACAATGCCGATGAGACCCCGTGTGGTTTGACATGCCTTCATCGACCATGGTCATGCAGTGTGGCGCCAAGGATATGAAGTTTTTGTCCACTAGCAATGAGCACTCGTGCTTCGCCGTCATGCTGGCATGCATGGTAGATGGTAGAAAGCTTCCGCCCTTCATCATCTTCAAGCCTAAGACAATGCTGAAGGAAGTGTTCCCTTCGGTGTTGTCGTTCGCGTCAACAAAAAGGGTTATATGGACGAGGCCATGATGCTCGAATGGATGCGAGTAGTCTGGAACCCTCAGCCAGGTGCACTGCTGTGTCTTTGCAGCATGCTAGTGTTAGATGCGTTTTGTGGTCACTTAACCGACGCTGTGAAGCGTGCACTGGGCGATGGAAAAGTGGACCTTACCGTAATACCAGGTGGTTTGACGTCCACCCTCCAACCGATTGACGTTGGGCTAAACAAACCGTTCAAGGACCGAGTGCGGCTGGAGTATCAAAAGTGGATGTCCGGCGACAACCCAAAGACACCGACGGACCGCCTACAGAGGCCTCCGCTTGCGGCTGTTTGTGGCTGGGTGCTTTCCGCCTGGTGTTCCTTGCCAGATTTCATGCTGGAAAATGCTTTTAAGAAATGTTCTATCAGCAACTCGCTGTATGGCACGGAAGACAACGCACTGTGAGAGGCGGCCAGCAACAAACTCTCATCTTCAGAAGACTGTGGTGCTTCGTCTGACGAATAGGAACAGTTGCGAAGATGGTTGAGGCGAGCTCCGACGATCGAGGTGCGATGCCCCCAACTCGCAAATAAATGTCGTTCAGCAATTTTGGGTTGTTTTCCTTTTTTTCTTTTTCGGTAACATGAACTTGGGGGGGTCGACCTATATTCCCACTCGACCTATAGTCTCGTTTATACGGTAGGTCCCAACACTGGCATATTTTGAGAACGTGCGTCTTGAAACCACGTGAGCACTCCAGCATCTACCGTAGTTACTCGAAAATAGGTCGGGCACGAATATAGGTCGACCCCTAATTGTAGCGCTCTATGAGAAATTAAAAAAATATTCGTATATAGGTCGACCCATATTTTTATTAGTAGTGGAAAATCTGAAACATACCACAACTTTATTCACAATAAGATTTCCTCCGCTCTATAGTCACTGTCAGGAGTGTCTTCATCGTCAGACTTGTAAGTGGGGGGAAAGTGGTGGTCGTTAGATTCTTCGCAGGCCCCTTCGGCATCCCAGATGACATTGTGCTTGCTGCCATAAAGCGCATTTGAAATGCTACACTTCTTAAAGGCGGTCAGGATAATTTCTGCTGGCAAGTAATTCCATGCGTCCTTCACCCATGTCGCAACCACACTGAGAAGAGCTTTCTTGCGGCGCCCCATTGGGGTCATGGCGGCATCGTCCTACGCGGGCCACTCTTTGTAGTACTTTGCGACAGCGACACTTGTTGCCGGCTACATCAAGAGGCTGTAGCTAAGAAGTCAAACCGCCTGGTACGATGACCAGGTCTGTGTTAGCCTTCGGCAGGGCCTCTTTGATGCCAGGGCAAATGTGGCCTCTGAATGAGTCTAGA